GCTCACATACGTAATTATTCCATATTTGGAATTCGCATTTCCTAATATGGTAGGATAAATACTTCGTAATATACCGCAAAATTACGATGCGCTGTAAATTATGGCGTTTTGGTGCCAGATGTATAATAATAATTATTCATCTTCCTTATTTTTAGGCAATAAGCTAGTTGATGCTGCAAAGTTGAAGAAGTAATTGCCTTGATGTCAAGATTACCTCATTGTGTTATCAGTAAGCACTCTGATCAGTTTGCCATTGTATTTCTCTTTAACAAAATACCATTGCATAAAAAAGGTGATAAGAAAAATTGAATAACTACAAAGGTATATCATTAAGTTCAGGGAAATTATATAATAGAATACTTGAAAAAGATTTGAATACCTTGGTAGAAAAGAATAAAACACTGGGTAAAATTCAGGGTGGCTTTAGAAAGGACAGGCGCTCTACAGACCAAATATTCATTCTAAAGGGAATAACTACAGCATGCAAATACAAAAATAAAAATACTTATTTGGCATTTTTGGATTTCAAAAAAGCATATGACACCATCTGGACAGACTGCTTATGGTATGCTTTATGGCAGAATGGTATACAGGGAAAATTGTGGAGAGTCATAAAACAGACATATTACCACATAGAAAGTAAGATATCATTTGGTGATGTTGACACTGTCTACTTTACACAGAACGAGGATTTAAAACAGGGATGTGTTCTGGCTCTATTATTATTTTCACTGTACATTTAATGAATCTTTACTTGGGGATAACTTAAATGAAGTACTAATTAATGGCATATGTTTTACTGAACATACAGTACTTATTGCACCTAATGAAAGTCAACTAGTGGCAATGCTAAGAATTACCAACAAATTTTGTAATTTATGGAAAATGGCAATTAATGAAGACAAGTCTAATGTCCTAATCACAAACAAAAGAGTTGACAAACATAGAGAGAGTCTATTGGAAAGTCAAAAATAAAAGAAGCTGTCGAGTACAAATATTTAGGCTACTGGTTTACACAACCTTTCGAACCATACCTACTGTAGAAAACTAATAGAAAAAATGTAATGCCTTATTTCCCGTTATCAAAGCAATACTTTGTGGTCATGGAAATATTAATCGAGTAGAATATGTTTTTTCACTATGGAACCAGGTATTGAGGCCAGCTTTAGAGTATGCTAGGGGAAATCCTGATACTTAGTCGGAAAAATATGGAGAGTTTAGAAAATATGCAGCGTACCGCAGGAACATTTATTCTGGATGCATGCAGAAATACTGCAAATGAGGCTGTACTTGGTGATTTGGGATTGTTCACAATGAGTTGTAGATTAGATATCATTAAACTAAATACATCATGCATTACCAAAGATTGTGTGATATGGCAGATTCCAGATGGCTGAAAGTTATTTTTAATGGTTTGAATGATCAAAATGATGAAAATAACAAAAACAACACAACAAAAGGGTAAAGCATTATTATGTTTCATTTTGTGCGATAGCACCAAGCATTACAATTATGAGATATGTGAAGAAATTGATTGTGAAAAGATTTCTTATTGATGCCATGGATTATAGAAGAGATTATGTAGATTAGATTTATTTCCTGTATATACTTTAAGTTGAAAAGTTTCATTTTTTGTACTTTATGTTTTGAACTGTCTGTTTCTTTTTCCATTTCCTGATATATAGTATGTGCTTTTGCCAGCATGTAAAAGGGTAGCAACAAATAAAATAAATAAAAAGCTACAACTAATCTAAATTTCTGTCAGACATTATTTCAATTACAAATGTATGTAAACTTGGTTAGCCCCAAGTGTGAGAAGTCTTAATTATATATTCTTACTGTGAGTGGTAAAAATGTTTTAGTAAATTATAATTATAGCAACTTCTCTGCAGCAATGCAGCAAGATTATATCCCTGTTCTTCATTGTTTGATGAGGTTAAACAGTGTATATACACATATATACAATTTGACTAGATTTGGGATAAGAGGGACAGTGGTACTTACTATAATGGGCCATATTTTCTGCTAGAAATCTAGGTGATTGGACGTGGTAGTGTAGGATGTATTACCTACAAAACAATATACCAGTATATGGAAGATATATGATTCTATGCTACTGTAACATTTTCAAAAGATAATGCATTGTGTAATTTATATATACCAGATACTTAATAATAATGAAATAATTTTATTAATGCAATGAAGCAATAAGTCTGCAGAGACAATGTGTTTTTATTCACACATCAGGTTTTAGTGGATTATCAGGTGGAAAGTTATAACTCAAGTAATGGACTATTCATGTATTCAGTGTATAATAAAGCATTTTTACTTGTAATATAAAAATAAGTTGATATTTGGACTTTCTCTTGTTAGCTCCGCTGTCGACTTTGTCGAGCGGAGCTTATCATATGAGTGATTGTCCGGCGTCAATGTTTTACTTTTTCGACTTCTTCTTGAAAACTACAAGCCTGAATGCTTTGATACTTGGTGTATATTTACCTTGGGTAGACCTCTCTGAGGTTTGTTCATTTCATGTTGATATCTTCAATTCTCTAATTTTGGTGAATATTTTTGTCATTTTTGGTAAAAAGTGATATTTTCGACTTCTTGTTAAAAACCGCAAGTGCAATTGCTTTGATATTACATATATAGGTACTACATGTGGACCTCTCTCAGATTTGTTCATTTTGTAATGATATCTTTAATTCTCTAATTTTGGTGAATATTTTTGTAATTTTTGGTAAAAAGTGATATTTTCGACTTCTTGTTAAAAACCAAAACTTCAATTGCTTTGATATTACATATATAGATACTACATGTAGACCTTTCTCAGATTTGTTCATTTTGTGATGATATCTTCAATTCTCTAATTTGGGCGAATATTTTTGTCATTTTTGGTA